ATGAGTGACACGGTTGTTAAGAATGGTACAATGGGCATAAATGATGATCAGTCATAACTGCGAAGACTGGTCAAAAGTGTGAGAACCTGTCAGAAATCACATTTTTCAGCCCTCTGGGTAGTCCTTTTGTGCACAGGGACTACTCAGAGGGCTGAAAAAGTTATTTTTGACTGGTCCTCGCACTTTTGACCAGTCCTCGAATTTACGACTGTCCTCACATTTTACGTTTTTTGCCCTATCTTATACCACATTGAAGAGAAGCAGTTGTGAAATGAGTGACATGGTTGTTAAGAATGCTGCACAGGCATAAATGTGAGGATGGTCATAAGTGTGAGGACCAGTCAAAAGTGCGAAGACCTGTCAGAAATGACTTTTTTCAGCCCTCTGAGTAGTCTCTATACACATAGCCATGGCCACCCGGTCACATGACCAGCTAGCCACGCTCACCCAGTCACATGACCTCCAAGCCACGCCCACAAAATAAGCCACGCCCACAGAACCAGTAGTAAAAAAATTTAGAACCCACCCCTGGTTGGGGGTCACCACAACATGAGGAACTGTATTAAAGGGTCACGGCATTAGGAAGGTTGAGAACCACTGCTCTAGTTCCAGCAAGATGATATTGAACTGAAAATGATATGGTGGACAGTAGTCTCATAAACTGCATCTGTGTGCTACTTGATTGATTTATTGAACTGCAATAACTGTGTGCATGAACACACATGGAAACAAGTTATTAAGTTAGATAATGTGCATTAACGTAATAATAAAGGGGACAAGTCTTTGTTTGCATGCATATTTAATCAATCCAGTCTGGACGTTGCATCCTCAACATCTGTAATAAAGAACATTTTAATGTCTGGCTACTACTGACGAAAAAAATCAAATATAAGATTTATGTTTTGACAACCAAGTGGGATGGGAGAAGAGTTGACATTAAAAAAAATGGGATGGAAGAGAAACTCCTCTTTCCCTTAGCAGTAATGCACTTTACACTGGAATGTTTCATTTGTCAGCATTCATCAGAAGATATAATATAAACTAGTTAGAGTTATAGTATTTCTGTCTATGGTTGAATGAAATGGGAGACATTCCTGCATGCTCATATATGAACAAAATTGACAGTGAAATGTTTTGATAATGCTTGAATGCAATAAGGCATAGGTTAGAGAGTCAGTTTGGTGTAGTGGTTTAGGCATCAAGTTAGAAACTGGGAGAGTGTGCGTTCGAGTCCCATCTTAGGCATAAAGCCAGCTGGGTGATCTTGGACTAGTAATTTTCTCTCAGAAGGAGACAATTGTAAACCATTTCTGAAAAACCTTGGCAAGAAAGGACATCTGAGAATTGGTCACAATTAAATGAAAGAAAAGAAGAAAAGGACAAATTGAGAGCCCACCACATATTGTTATCTGAGGGTCAGAAGAAGCAGTGATATAAGAAAAGGGGAGAAGGGAATCTGAGAAACTCCAGGGTAAGCAGTATCTTGGAGTCCCAGAGAATAAAACTGTGTAAAGTTTGAACTGGTGGGATGAGTGGAAATGGAAAATAGAAAATGGGATGTGCTTCAGATAACGAACAGCTGGAGAAGTAAGAAAGATTAGGGTTACCCATAGATATTATCTGCAATTTATAAGAGTATGTAGAGAGTAAAGAAGATGACCTTGACAGAGATATATGAGCTCCATTTACAAAAGTGATGAGGAGAAATGACAACTGGCAGACAGCCTTTGTAAGTGGCTCCGACAGACACCACTCTAATTAGTAAGAGTATAAGAAAAGGGAGGAGATTTGCAACATTCTGTTAATATAACCAATCTCAATAAAAGTAGTTTTAGCCTTCTTGTGAAGTTGATTTCTTGGTCAGGCCTATCTAGTGAGGATGATAAAATGAGAGCAGTGCCCAGTGAAAGCATTCCATAGTTTATGCTCCTACTGGAGCATATTGGCTATAGGGAATTTGGTTGAACATGTATTGGCTTCCCCGTGAGCTTCAATTCTGTGTTCCACTTTTCAATGGACATGCATTTTTTATAATTCAGGAGCAGCCTGTAAATGTTAAAACAGCCAATTTAAAAATACTGTACAAAATACTGTAATTAAATTAACCACCTACTTCTGTTGTTGAGTCTGAACATAGCAAATTTTATGACTTGGATACAGAATTTAACTATTGTATAGATAATTTCACAGTGATTATCTTTTTAAAAAACATAAATATTATTTGTCTGAATGGTCAAGCAATCTACCTATTAAGGACTTAATTAGTTGGGAGTACAAGTCTTGTAAAATCTACCACTAAGAAAGTCATGTTCTAAGATTTCAGTTTCATCAGAGGCACAAGGTCATCTCCTGTGTGAAAAGGGTGTCTGGTTGCATCTCCCATTCATGACTATAGAGGGAAGAGCACAGAAATATCTTCTAGAGAAGAATCAACAAGATTTGGATTAGGATAGCTGGTATAATTATTGGGCAAGTTGAAATTTTCTAGTTTCAGTATAGAGTTGGTATAGTCTTGAGGAAGCTACTTTTTTTTTTTTTTAGGATACTATTTTCTAGTCTTAGTTTAAACATTGCAGCTTCCTGTCTATAATTGTGTGACATTCAGATTAAAAGGGAAGGACCTCTAAAGGAAATAAATTGGTTTTGAGCCAGTAAGTTACCGGTAGTTCTGATTTGTTTGCTAAGTCAGCCAGTCTCCAGTCTAAGTAGTGAGTTGAAGTCCACACATCTTTAAATCGCCACGTTAAAGAAACACTGCATTAGATAACATTTGGGGAGATCAAATGTATGAATTATGCTTCCATTTTGCTATATGCCATTTTTTCTACCAGAGGCCTACAAGTTATCATAACAGAATTACTACAACCATCATTACGACCATTCTATGAATTATGATGAACATTAACCAATTAGCAGTTGAATAAATTCTTAAAATATTAAGAACAAATTAAAAAATAAAAATAGAACATTGCATATTAACAGGCTGATGCAAGTTCATCTATTTTATTTCAATGAACTACAAAGCTGGAATGCAAAACTAACCATGTTCTTATCATTACAGCTTTGGTAAAATTATTAGATTTGTATTTGCACCTTAAGTATTAATAAAATATGTAATAAGATTGCTTTCTGGTAAGAACTGTAATCATGTCACAAGAATTAAATGGATTACATTTAAAATATGCATGCCTTGAATTTGTCTCTGTAATATTGCTTATATAAATACCTAGGCTGAACTACAGCAGTTTCATTTCTTATCACTCTTTCTTATACAGAAAGAAGAAAAATAACTCTGTAGTATTAAATACAATGACATGTTGGGATTCTTTATGAATGAAACTAAGAAAAATATCATCAGTCTTAGATAGGAGATGCTCTATCGGTTGTTTGTATGTAAATAAAACATAATAATTGAGACATTTTCCCAACTATGTTTTGTTTATTTTTCTGTGAGAAATGAAAGAAGTGAAGAATGAGCAAAGCAATAATTCCTTTTGTCTGCCAACTTGAAGAGCACCAGCTTCATTGTCAATTAGAGAAATCGGTCCAGAGCAAAGTATCTCCCTTCTTCTGGCTTATCTTCATGGAGCAACAAAGCCAGAGCAAAGCAATTCAATTAAAAGAATGTGCATTAAAAATACAATAACTGACTTGCTTCATATAAATGATTTGGGATTGATGTCTTGTACTTTTCAATAACACAGCTCGATTACCCTGCCTTCCTGGAGGCTCTTATCCATCCCCAAGCTTTCCCAGACACAGATTTTGGTCACTTATCAGAAATTTATTAGAGACACTAGGAAAAAGAAGGGAAACCTGCAATTTACAAGATGCAATAGGATTCGATCGATGTGCACTTTGTGCTACGAGATCTGCATTCAGACAGTCGGATGGATCATTTTAGGCATGTTATCAAAGACTTACACAAAGGCTGGATGATGTCATTCCTTTATTCCTCTGGTTGTACAGTTTTAAACAGTCTACAGGGACCCTTGCCTGTAATCCTACCTGAGAATAAATCTCACTGAACACAATGTGGCTTTCAGTATTGCACTGTCAGGAAAGAAAAAAAAAAAAAACAATAGCCAGCATTATTTTCAAGTACTATATGACTCTGTGTATTATATAAATGAGAGCCAGTTTGGTGCAGTGGATTCATCATGAGGCTAGACACCTGGAGTCTGTGAATTCTAGTCCCATTTAGGCAGAAAGCCAACTGGGTGACCTTTGGCCAGTCACTCTCTATCATCCTTAAGAAGGAGATAATGGCAAACCACTTCAGAAAAACCTTGTCAAGAAAACTGCAGTATTGCCTAGGATGTCACCAGAAGACAAAACTGACCTGAAGGATCAAAATCATTATCCATACAGTATGTATACTATATATACATACTTATACATATACAGTACATGCACCTATACATACAAACAGATAAATCCAAAGGACACTACCAGTGGTGGAATTCAGCCTGTTCGCACTGATTCAACCAAACCGGTTGTTAATTTTTTACATAGTTCTGTGAACTAGTTGATCCCACTACTGGCTCGTTCCGCCCTGCCCTGCCCCACCCACCAGAGTTGCCATTCAGGGTGGGGAGGCTGCAAGGGGCATGACTGGGAGCTGTGCTGATCAGCTGGGAGGCAGCAAATGGACCAGCTGCACCGATCAGCTGGAAAGCTGCCTCCTCCCCCCCCCCCCCCCCCCCCCCCCCCCCCCCTCTACCCGAGCGCCGCCCCCCCCCCCCCCCCCCCCCCGCCCCGCACGTCTGTTTTTGGCCTGGATGGCCTCCTGCAAAATCCTGCAGCAACTACCATTCCCTCACTAACCTGCTAACTTCCTACACTGCTTTCCAGCTCCGTTCTCTGGCATGCAGAGCAACAAAAGAAGACCATGTGACTACCAGTTTAAAAAAAGTTCAGTCAGACCTTCCAGCTTCGTGAGATCCTTTCCCCCCCCCCCCAAAAGTTGGACGGTCTGACTGAACTTTTTTTAAACTGGTAGTCACATGGTCTTCTTTTGTTGCCCTGCATGCAGGAGAACAGAGCTGGAAAGCAGGTTAGTGAGGGAATGGTGGTTGCTCTGGGATGGGGTGGGAGTGAGGATTTTGCATTATGATGGCTCTGGAATGGGGTGGAAGTGAGGATTTTGCATTATGATTGCTCATAAGTAAGTAAGAACCAGTAAAAGGGGAATGGAAAAATCCCTATCTGTAGATCAGATTTTTCAGTCTTGGCAAGTTTAAGATGGGCGAACTTCATGCTGCCTGGGGAATTCTGGGAATTGAAGTCCATGCACCTTAAAGTTGCCAAAGTTAAGAAGCATGGGTCTACATTAGAGTTTAGGATTTTCCATTCCTATTTATTTAGAGTTTCGTGCAATTAAATAAATCAGTTGTGGTTTCCTTAACAAATAGTGATTAAAGCGATATGAACCATTACTGGACTTTTTGTGAGAAACTGAAATTAAAAGTTGATCTTGGCTTTGATGATTAGATATGGGATTATAGAAATAATATAGACAAATGTTAATCTTAGAGTAAGAGTTTGATATATATTTTTACTTATATCTGTACCAAAGTTGGAAGTCATTCTTTTTTGGTTTTCCTTCTTTTCCTCTTTCTTTCTTACACTTTCACTCTTTTTCTTTCCTGAGCCTTTTCTTTTTTCAAATCTGTTTTTTTATGTGTTTATCCCTTAGTTGTTGTTGTTTTTTTAATGTATGAAGATCAAATACTCAGCCATTATAATTTTACATTCCTTATTTACAGAAACCATATCAAAATTTAGAATGAAATCCACTGGGAGCCATCTCATATAAGGCAGGCTCCAAGTCCCTCTAACCAAAAAGTGTTTATTGATATTTGTAGCCCAGGGTTGAACTGTGGGGTCCTTGGTGCTCTCTGAGCTTTTCTTGCAGATGTTTCATTACCAAACTAGGTAACATCATCAGTACTAGAAGGAAGTAGAGTTTGCTCTTATTTTCATATACTAATGGCTTCCTCAGTCAGTGTTGATCAGTTGCTTCACAAACAGTGTTTTGATTGGTGCCAGGTCTCTACAGCCTCAGGCAGAGAAAGGCTATTCTGCATCCCTCCCTCAAATGTTCTTTAAAATACAGAGTTCCCCAGCATTCCTTTAGGAACCCCCAACATCTAAATTATGGTTACTCATCCTAAAATTAATCCTCTTTACCTGGAGCTTCAAAATTTACTGTTTGCTGGGGAGGTGCATAGCTAAAAATCAGTCTATATTTAGCGTGCATCTGACTTTGGGGATATTTCTTCATATCCAAACAAAAGTGTATTTTCTGCGCAGTTCACACCCTTTGTTTGCTGGCTCTGGATGTCACAAAGCAAAGCCCACATTTTGTAATTAACCCCCGTGCCCTGTTTTGACTGTCAGAGTGCTGCAGGAGGCTGAGTTCTGCCATGCCCCCTGGCCATGCCCACCCAGTCACACCCATCCAGCCGGTCGTTAGGGCAGAGAACCAGTTATTAAATTATTTGAATCCCACCACTGGACCCTACCTTAGACACTGAATTTGTTCAAGAGTATTGGTGACAAATTCTCATTTTCTTTTTCTTCTCAGCATTGCATCCTTTTCTCACTCAGAAGTAATTTTCCTTTGGCTTATCTCTATCTTGTCACTTATCACTTGCCCTCTGACTAGAGTTCCTAAATGGTTGGTTCTCTTACTAGAGTTATTTTGTCCAACTAAACCACATATGAAAGCATCTTCATTCTGCTTAGTGGGTACGGTTGCCTTTTTTTCTGGCAGAAATAAATGTTGCAAAAGAAGGCAGAAATTCAATAAACACCTATTTTGTTTCATTGCACTAGAAAAGATATCACCACCTATTTAAACGTGCCCTATTTTTGTTAAAAGTAAATGTGCATTCTTTCTTATAAGAATTCTATCTTGCAAAAAGTATTTTAGTAATTGTTCTGGTTTAAAAGGGTAATTTATTATATGAAAATTATACCATAAATTATATCATACACCATGTCCACACTATAATTTAGATTCAAAGTATGGCATGCAGATATGTTTCTATTCAAAAAGCTTAATCTGATCATCACCATTCAATTGCAGACTAATTGTCTAAATCTACACATTTTAACATAATTTTATGTAATATGTGTGTTTGCGCAGCTGTTTTTTTTTTAAGTATATGCTCTTTTATGCAATATTTGAATAGAAAACTATATCCCAAGATTTGGATAAATCATTTCATTAGTGAACTCAATGAAATGATTTTTCTGATCTTCATATAAATTGTTTCGGTCCTCTTAAAAATGTGACCAAACTTAAATTCTTCCTATTCATAGTAGATAAGACTTCCTTCCTCCTGAAAAAAAAAAAAAGTTAATGAATGTAGTATCACATTTTGGGGATTTAAGTCAAGGACTCCAAGACCCCTGTATGATCAGTAATGTGTTCCTAGCCTTCACCAAGACTCAACTGCAAATACTGTTGATAAGTCAGTTGAGTCTGAGAGGAGAGGAATACAAACGAATGTGCATTTTAAAAGTGCTGGAATTGATTGGGGATTATGATCCTTAGTGGATCAAAGGGAGCTTGAATTCTTTGAACTTAAGACTTGTCTGTCTAGTATAAATGCATGATCAGGTGAACTGCCCCAAATGCCCATGGATGTAAAGGTTGGATATAAAAAAAACTGTTTTTTACCACAATCTTAGGTTACAATTCTGTACCTAGCTCCCTACATCTATTTGTTTTAAAGACTGAAACATGCATATCAAAATCTAGAGTTGCAGGAATACAGTAAGGTAAAGGTAAAGGTTTCCCTCGCGCATATGTGCTAATCATTCCCGACTCTAGAGGCAGGGGTGAAATGCTCCCGGTTTGGACCGGATCGCCCGATCAGGTAGCGATGGAGGCAGGTGGTTCGGAGAACCGGTAGCAAAAATCCCTGCCCCACCCCATTGCCCAGCTGAGCCACGCAATCATCAGAGGCTTTTTTTAAATTTTTAAGAGCATTTTTTCTACAAACTCTTTGGCCGAAAAAATGCTTTTAAAAGTAAAAAAAAAAAAGCCTCTGATGATCGCGCGGCTCAGCTGGGATCATCAGAGGCTTTTAAAAGCATTTTTTCTACAACCTCTTCGGCTGAAGAGGTTATAGAAAAAATGTTTTTAAAAGGAAAAAAAGCCTCTGCCAATCAGGCAAGTCAGCTGGGATCATCAGAGGCTTTTTTTTTAAAAAAGAAAGCCATGCCGATCAGGCAAGTCAGTTGGGATCGTCAGAGGCTTAAAAAAAAAAGCCTCTGCCAATTAGGCAAGTCAGCTGGGATCGTCAGAGGCTTTAAAAGCATTTTTTAAACAATCTCTTCAGCCGAAGAGGTTGAAGAAAAAATGGTTTTAAAAGTAAAAGTAAAAAAATTGGCCACGCCCACTCAGTCATATTACCCCCCACACTAAGCCACGCCCACAGAACCAGTAGTAACAAATTTTACATTTCACCACTGTCTAGAGGGCGGTGCTCATCTCCGTTTCAAAGCCGAAGAGCCAGCGTTGTCCAAAGACATCTCCGTGGTCATGTGGCCGGCATGACTACATGCCAAAAGCGCATGGAACGCTGTTACCTTCCCACCAAAAGTGGTCCCTATTTTTCTGCTTGCAGTTTTTTACGTGCTTTCAAATTGCTAAATTGGCAGAAGCTGGGACAACTAACAGGAGCTCACCCCATTATACGGCAATAGGGATTCAAACCACTGAACTGCTGACCTTTCGATCGACAAGCTCAGTGTCTTAGCCACTGAGCCACCGTGTCCCAAGGAATACAGTAGTTATATTCAAAAAAGAAAATTAAAACATAAGAGGATAGTGAGTGTACAGATCACAGGTAATGCTGACAAATAAATGTCTATATCAGTTAATGGCCAGAAATACATCTTTAATTTGTACGTCCTTCCTATTGCCCTTCTTATGCATAAGCTCAAAGGAACAGTAGTTTTAGCACTGTGGTATGTTAAGGGGAATTTCTGTTTTGTCTCAAAATCTCTCTCTTGCTGCTGAAGTCTTTTTATTTGCTTATGCTGACGTTTCCTTTTGCATGAAGAGAGATCCCATAATCCTGGAGATCAAAGAGCTGTGCAAGTTTATTGATTGATTTCCTTGTGTCATAGGTTAGAGTGTACTGTCAAACAAGAGGGATATTAAGAAATTGAAAGAGTTACAAATATGAGAACAGGGGAGTAAAGGGCATATACTCAAGGAGCTATTTAACTCTGCTGTAAGTCAAAGTGAGTTTGATATATAACCACTGTAGGTTGCTAAGAACCTGAATAGGAAAAGGAAATGGTGTGCAAAGATGTTTCATTATCATATTTTGCAATAGAATTTGCTATTATTTTCCCCTCCAAAAATAGCTAAAGCCATGGAAACCTTAACTATCTGTTGAAAACAAGTGATATATATGGAATAAGGTGGGTGATATTTAGAAGTAAGTGACAGAGATTCAGGGTTGGAATGTTCAGAGAGTCTCTTTAATTATTTTTCTCTCTCTGCAACTATTTATGCAATCCTACTAATACTCAGCAATTGCTACTTTTTCATACCAGCTTATACAAATAAGGGAATTACTACCCACATATCAGTTTTTAGGACTTTTAAATATTAAAACTGGTGGGAGTGAGTCGTGATGCAATCCTCGTTTCCCTTTGTATATGTAGTATTTCTGTGAACACAGCAACCAAAGCAGTGCTACAGTTTTCATTAATACTGATTAAATCATCTTTCCCTGGTTTGTGCTTTTCCAAATCATTGGGACTATGACTGAAATTGATGAGAGCTCTGGCCCAAAGCATTTACTGTATTGTGGCATGAACATTCAAGGACTACAACTGACTTCATGGTTATGCCCAGCTATCTTCCTGTCTGGAACTACTAAAAAATTGCCTCTGTTGCTTTCCAGAAAGATATAAATATTATTAAATAAATGATCTGCTGACTATAAAATCTGCATTACATACCTCCCCATCTAGGAATTGAGAAGATTGCCATGGCAAACTATCAAGAATTTGATTCCATCTTATCACCCCTCCCCCCCCTAAAAAAAAATAGGTGATCGAAGCATCGCCCTCCTGCTCTACACAGACGATGCTGTGATTCTCTCCAGGACTCCAGTAGGTCTTAGAAGAGCCTTGCAAGCCCTTCTCCAGTACTGTAATAACAATAAACTGGACATAAATTATGAGAAAAAAAGATCATGGCCTTTGCAAAAAGACCAAAACTTTATTCATGGTATCACTGGCCACAAAATAGAGCAGGTAACCACCTTCAAATACCTGGGGGTGGTCATTCAAGGCCAATGGTTCAAGAAAAGCACATGGAGAATATGCAGCTGCCTTGGGCCAAAGATCAGCTAGCACCATTCTTAATTTTTTCTGCACAAAGGGAGGATACTATGTCCCTGCTGCTATTAAGCCTTTTGTGGCCAAGTTGCTAGCTCGGCTCCTTTATGGGACCTGGCTCAGACCGTCAGCTTCATGTTTTACATCATTAGAAATAGTTCAATCCAAATTCATTAGATCAATTCTTCAGATGCCATGTTGTGTCTCAAATGCACTTCTGTGTCAGGAGACAGGATTGATAAAAGTCAAAGCAAGAATCTGTATAGCATCTTTAAATCTCTGGCTAAAGCTTAACTTCTTTCTGCAAGGTCTTGCTCCGTTAATCCTCCAAGACAAATTCTCATCATCTTGGATCAAGGCTGTTGAGTCCAACCTTGCCAAATTAGGTTTCTCCCCAGCTTTAATACTCAAGATGGACTATGATCTAGCAAGACAAACTTGCGACAAAGGGTGAGGACATCGAGAAGCAGGTGGACTTAGGGAAAGCTCCGCTGTTTCTGGCTCCAGATGCCACTAGATGTGTTGTTGTTCCTGCCAGCTATTTTAGTCAGTTGGAATCAGCAAACCACCAAAAAGCATTTGCACTTGCATGGTGTCATGCGCTTCCATCGGCCGTTCTGTATGGCAAGTATAAAAGAATACCATTCATGGAAAGACTCTGTCCCTGTGGCTCAGGAGAGGTGGAGACTGTGGGACACATGCTCCTTAGATGTTCCTTTTATATGGAGATTAGGAAAAAACATATTCTGCCAATAACTGCAAGGTATCCTGCCTGTGCCGACACTACCTATCTTCATTGGCTGCTTAAGGATGAACAGGCCATAACTACAGCACAGGTGGCCAGATTCTGTGCAGCAACACTGGGGATTCATCACAAATACGTGTCTTCTTCACCATAGCGATGTATATAACAACTGTGGCTAACCCTTGCACTGCTTAGCCATTTCCCTTTTAGCGTTGAACCCACAATTGGGCCACACAGTTTAGGGATTGCAATAATTGTATAGTCAGACCATGTATAATGGATACTGGATTTTATTATAGATTTAGTTGTCATTTATTATCTTAAACCCTGAAGTCTTAAGTGTATAGACACTAAGTGCTTTTATTTGTTTCTGATCTAAGACTGTAATAATAAAAATTGAATTGAATTGATTCCATCTGATTGCATTTGAACCTTGAGACATAAGTATTCCAAGATCCTTGTCACCTTAGAGGCTTCCATAGTAATGTTGAAGCTCTTAGCGAAGAATAAAGAAAAGTTTTAGTAAGAGATTCTGGTCACCATATCCCCCATTATTGCCAGATAAAATTTTTGAAGGAAAAATTGTGATAGGATAAAATCTGGTGTATATGTTGAGGAACACAAGCAGTTTAACTGTATAATAGTCAGTTATAGTAGTCGTTGTGCTAGCACTTACTCAGAATAAAGCAGACTAGGAGATACAATTAGGCTTGAGGGGGGAAAAAGAATTATTTCTCACTTTTCTTTTAAAACTACTCTACTTTGTCTTAAGAGCATTTCCAAATTCCTAGGCAGAATCTGCTTGTCTCCAGATTGCAATCTTCTTGGACAAAAACTGAGGTGTTTATTGCTTAAGAAGGTTCTCTAGTTTTAAAATCCATTGCACATTTAGCAAGTGCAGTACCAGATTTATAGTTCAAACTCCTGTACTGAACAATGGTTTAGATTGGCCCCTGTATAAATGAATGCAAAAAGCCAGTTGCTATTCAAATACAGACAATGCTGAAGTCTTAGAAAATGAGTTTAGGAGGGATAAAAGTTGTAACAACAAACAGGTCTAATTATTACTGGGTAAATCTATAGGTACATTTGTATCAATTCTGACTATTGTACTGCAATACCTGAAATATTCCACATTTGGCTATCCAACATTAGTTTGGAATTTTTCCAATGAAGGTTCAAGAGTTTTATGAACTGCAAAGCACTTAACTTTCTACTAATGTACATTCTTTCCAGATGAGGTGCAGCAACTCTCTATATAACGGACATTGTGTTATTTTTACTCCTCATGAACTTTTATAGTAATTGGTGGATTTGTCTCATTCTCATATCCATATTTGATATAAGTGAATGGTTAGAAAATTTGTCCTAAAACTAACTACAGCCTAACATTTAGCCTACACACAGTTCCTGTACTATAATCAGAGAGAATCCTAACAACTTTTGTGACATTTCAAAGTCTCTTGGGAATACATCTCTTAGATCTTATGTGGCAGCAACTGTGGGAATAACATATTTCTTTGGATCTGTCCTGCCTCAAGCCAGAGTAAGATTTATATATGCAGTGCAGAAGAAAGCTATGTGGGTCTTATTCTACTACTGACACTGCACAAATCACTTACCTGTTTCAAACCCAAGAGACATTTCACTGCAGGTTGGGAATGCCAGTTGGGCCAGGAACAATCTAGAACTGAGATGTTTGGCATATGTCTCACCAGGCCACTTTTCTACCCTTGTTTTTTAAGGATTGCTTTTTCGACCATTAGTACTTCTAACAAGGAATTGTTGGTTGAACTGGAAACTTTGAGCAAGTCATTGCCGAAATAAGAGCCCTTTATTGTTATTCCCTAACCGCTGGATTCTGGGAATATCACTAGCCAGTCGTCATGTCCCCATTTACTATGATGGAGAAAATGCTGGGGCTTATTATCCTCCTATCCTTAATATCTCTGGGAACTAAAAAGTAAGCAAGATGCCACATAACTACTCTCAAATTTCATAATTATGGGTTAAGCCTGCCAGGATCTACTTATTATGAGGAACTACTTAGATAAATTCAGAAGAAATCCCAGGAATTTATTGAAGGAAAATAGGAATTCATAACCAAAGAATTTCAGCCAATAGTATCATTCAAGAACAAGAAGTCAACTTTACATATCTTTTACTTCCCTACCTGTGTCATTTCTCTTTTCGGCAATCAAATTTTTAATTATCTCTTTGTGAGGGAGCAGGTTCTTATACAAGATTCTTTGAGAACCTCTTGTTCCCCTTAACATTAATGATGGGAGATTGGAAAAGAATGGAAGATATAGCAAATATAAGCCATCAAGAGATATCAAGAAGGACAACTGATCAAATAAATGCCAACTTGGTCCCAGATGGAGGGGAAAAACTAGGAAGAAGTATTCTGAATCATTCAAAGAAACTCTACATAATTAGCCCACTATAAATAAGAGTGGGAAATATACCCAAAAGTGACTGTGTATCCCTGGACTAGAAAGAGATTCCAACATAACTGTCATAATAGTTCTTTGTTTTGTTTTGTTAAGGAAGGAAAAGGAGGCAGAAGAGAAACTGATGGGACAAATGGAAACTTTAATGGGATTCCCTTTTATTCTTCAAAAGATGAAAGAGTAACTACTTGTGTAAGCATGAAGAGTGACTGTGTAGGTGAGCTGATGGCCAAGTCTAGTTTGTTTCTGCAATAAAATCTCAGATAGGCCAATCCCTTTGCTTTCCTTGAGTTTTGAACTCAGGGCCAAAGTAAATGTTATTCAAAACATATAGTTTTACCATAGTGGATCGCAAAATTTCAGAGATGACCAATAGACTTCCTGATTATTATAATTCAGAGCAGATCTTGAAGCCCTACAACTAGGGTCTGGTTTGAATAACAGGAGCAAGAAGAAATCTTATTTAAATGCCTGTGAGGGGAGGAAAGCCATCTTTCTCCCAGCCATACTCCTTAGTGTGACCTGAGAAATTCCTCCTGTCCCAAAGATGTTGCTAGCTGTGGATAACTAAGAACAATTAAAATAGAGCAATTATCTTTCATTGAATGTAACAAAGAGAATAATCTTATGCTCACTATGCTGTAGCAAAGTACATTCAACAGCAAATGACAGATTTAGGGCCTCCAATTTATTTATTTTTGTGGCTAGTTGTGAGATACTCATCCAGACTTTCCACTAATGGAAGATCCTCAACGATTGATTGGTTATGTGCCATCAAGTCATTGTCAATACTTAGTGATCACATAGATAGATTTTCTCCATGACAATCAGTTCCTAACCTGGTCCTTCAGCTCTTCCAAAGATGCTTCCATCACTATTATAACTGACTCTGTTCAGCTTGTGGACGATCATCCTTTTCTTCTCTTTCCTTCCACCTTTCCCAACATTAAAGCCTTCACCAGAAAGCTAGGTCTTTGCATAAGGTGTGCAAAGTAGGATAGGTTCTCAAAGCAGGATTATTATTATTTATTAAATTTATATGCCAGTCATCTTGTGGTTTGAGGGACTCCAAGTGGCTTACAATATGACATAACATATTACAAATATAAAAACAGTTATAACTATAAAAAGCAATTACAAAAAATTACAACAAACTTTAAAAACCCACAGGTCTGGAGCAGTGATTTCTCTGTTACTGCATTAGCCACCTCCAGCCAACAGTTTCTCCTTCAGGGCCCCATGACAACCAGCATAGCTAAGTTTAAGGCATTTCCTAAGGGTCAGGAGAGAGGGGGCAAATCTCATCTCCTGTAGCAAAATGTTTCAAAGGGTGGGGACCATGGCAGAAAAGCCTCTTCTCCTGAATCTCACCAGCCACGATTCCTGGGGGTCTACAGTAAATCTCTTCTGCCAGAATGAGAGAGTGGTAATGTATCAATCACATTGGTGAAAGATGGCTCCTCAGATATCCTGGACCTATGTCATAAAGGGTTTTAAAGGTAATGACCAACACCTTGAATTGGACCTGGAAGCTGATTGACAACCAGTGCAGCTTGCATAACAATGCTATTATGTGTGTCACAAAGGGCCTACAAAACTGCACTGCTGCATTCTGGACCAATTCTGAATAGTCTTCAAGGGTAATCCTATGTAGAAGCATCACAATAACCCAAACGGGAGATGACCAAGACATGTGGGATTCAGCACAGAGGCTCAAGATCCAAAAAAGGGTGCAAGAGTAATAAACCTATGGATCCCAAGGCTTCAAGTATCCACAACCACTCTGTCTTACCAAAGTTCAGTTGAAGCCTGTTGTCCTTATCCAAGGATAGGTTCTCAATGAAGATTCTCAAAGGAGTTAACAAATCACAACAATCTAATTAAAACATAATTAAAAGCACAATTAAAGTGTAGTAAAAATGCCTAATTCAAACGCTCATAATATGTTTAGGTGATAAAGCCTAACATTTGGAGTTTAAGGACTTCCCATCTGAGTGACCTTTAGGAGCATAGATGGGGAAATACGCTTGCTGAATATACTTGCTGAATTGGATGATAGGGCCTCTATAAAGGCCTCTTCCCTTTGGCTTTACTACTACTGATTTGGTGATTGTTGAGAAAACAAAAGGTCTGCCTCGTACTGCTTCAGACTCAGGCACATTGCGTGTGACTTCAGGGATAGTCTGGAGGCCTCTGCTGAGAATGTGAAATGTTGTCACCACTACAACAGTAGAACTTTGGCAAACCTTTTCCGCAGTTTTGGAAAGGCATCAACTTTGTGCTCACCAAGTGAGTTTGCAGGCACTGATTTGCTGCCAATCCAACCCAGGGGGATTTGCCTAGCCAGATTTCACCTCGACAGAGTAAAAGCAAATTGAATTCAGATGAGCAGGCCCCAGCAGTAGGTCTCTTCTGGTGTTACAGAAGAACTTCCTTCCGAGCTTATACGATCACACAACTGAGCTCTCTCCTTTGGCATCACTATAGTTAATGCGCCCAGAATAATAAACAGATGGCCCTTTTCTATGACTATGTAGTGGACAGCTGGCAGAAATGTACCCTTTTTTTCAGAGCTAGTATTTTTAATTTTTGTTATCATGCCAAACATCCTATATCTGGAAATCATATTAGCTTCACTAAATAATCTTGGGGCCATATGTTTTGCTGATGGAAATGTTTCATGTGATAATGATGTTTTTACAATAACAGTGTTGGCTTGGACAATTGAAAAAATGTAATACTTCCCCCAATGGTTCTTTCTTTCTTTCTTTCTTTCTTTCTTTCTTTCTTTCTTTCTTTCTTTCTTTCTTTCTTTCTTTCTTTTTCTTTCCTTTCTTTTAGAAAGACTTAAAACAAAGCTTAGTGACAAGAATTTAAATCATTCCAGCTCAACCATGCTGCTTCTAAAAAAGGTTTTGAATAATGAAGCTTCTCTTTCTCTCAGGAGCTGCTTTTAACTTTTAAATGAAGCATGACTAAATTTGAGCAAAGAAGATTTGATGTTTCCAATTAGCTCAGAGAGTTGAAATGGGTTCTGATCTTATCGCAGTCAGAGCTGCGAATGGGAACCATAACCTGATACAGTTTCACATTGGTAAAAAATTCAGGGAGGAAAAACTCCCCTTAGTGACTTAATATAATTGTGAATTCAGGCTTTCTTTTTCCCGAGGACATCCTGTTCATAATTATACAGCAATACGAGATAGTTTGGCTACACGTTTGCCAAACAATTAGTTAGCAATATACAATCATCTCCTTTAAAAGCCTATCAGCACCAGCTCCACAATCTTTGTGGCCTTTGGGCAAGGGTTTATTTATATATTTTTTTTACAATAGCAAATTGCAGATCCCCTCTGTGGCTTCTGGACATCTTAATGCTTCACACATAATGAAAATGACATTACAGGAAGAAGGAAACCTAGAAGCCAGGGAGCAGGACCAGCCTATCCAGTTTCTAAAGACAGTCCTGACAGAGTTCTAAAAAGAAATTCAATGAAGTTGGGATAAAGTTGAATTAAATGCCAGCATAATATTTGTTCAGAATAGCTAAAGTGTTGAGTGCCGCTTTAACTATATTAACTATACTTTGTATATTTTATGGGGCTTCTAGATCACTACATTTTTTAAAAAATGTATGAAGTATCTTTGTGTGTGTGTGTGTGTGTGTGTGAAAAAGACACTTAAGAGTGACCAACATGTGCAAAACAAAGTAACACAAATGTACTCATCCAGTAGCTTTTAAAATCAACACCAATAGACATTCGTATAGGCTTACTTACAGATGCTTAAAGATCAGTGCATCTAAATAATAGTTTTTGCACATTTGCCAAGCAGCAAAAAATCAAAATTTCAACTTTTTAAAAATGTTTCAAACATCTCAATCTGCAGCAACCATAAAGAAAGTCTCTTGTTCTAGTTGAGACTCTTAATTCATTTTCATGTGATTTTTCTAGACCTAGACATAACTTTATGAAAAAAATTTCAAAATTTAAACTGGTTTATAAACTCCTACTGATTAATTTTAAAGAAAAAAATGCCAAGAATTGTTACTTGGACCCTATCTAAAAGTTTTAATTTGAACTTATACTTATACTTAATTAAAATTAATGAAAATAAAATGTATTTCTGATAGGAGCCAAGATAGGTTATTTTATTTATTCTAGAAAAAGTTACTGAATATGAAAAAATATGAATGTTTAAATCATAGAAGCATTTAATGAAAAAATAAGAAAAAAGTGCTTTTCATTAAACTATCTCACTAACTCTACGCAGTAGTAAGCTCCACTTATTTTTGCAAATGAAAAATGATCCCACTAATAGGAAACTAAGCAAAACTAATCTAAACTCAGACTGTTCCCTCAGGAAAAAAAAAGTACTGAATATAATCTCTTTTCTTTAATTGCACCTATGCTACCTACTTTATTTTTTGATCCTCTTTTAATAGCCTGTCTGAAAAATGCTGATTTTTCCAATATCAACATATAACATTCCTCCCCCAACAGAAGTTGATCATTTGTATGGACTTTACAAAGTGTTTAATGAAAGGTGCCATATCAAAAAAAAAAAAAAAAAAAGTCAGCTGTGGATAATGAGTCACATCTATGCCATGGAACAATTAAGGTTGTATTAAAAATCAGTATTTTTATTGAGCATTGCATTGCATTGGATCTTTCTGAATGGGTTTCCCAAAAATGTTAGGATTATCTCTCCATTAAAGTATCTTCCCCTTATTAACATTTGTTGTTTTGGGGGAACCATTCATAAATGAAAATACTAGCTTACACAGTGATCTTTAGGCCATAGCATCAAAGATAATTTACACAGCAGTTTCTAAGATTTATCCACCCATGATAATCTAAGACCCATGAGAATAATCTAAGGTTACAAAAGGTGTGTGTGTGTGTGTGTGTGTGTGTGTGTGTTGGCTCTAGACTATTTAGATTTAATTCACAGAAGTTTGCAAAACGTCCTGGGAACATTTGTATGCTTGCAGATTGATACCCTTTCCCAACCTCTCTGTATAAATATTGTTTACCTTTGAAAAACCACACAGATGAAGTGAGGTTAGCAGCAATCACAGTCTCCAACTCTATTATATTCATGCACATAGGAGGAAGCTTTTCTCCCTCCATAGCAGGGGTGTCAAACTCACGTCGTCATGATGGCATCACATGACATATTGGGACTATTTTCTCCTTCGCTAAACCAGGCATGGGTGTGGGCAGCACATGATGCATCTGGCCGGTAGGCCAGAAGTTTGACAGCCCTGCTCCACAGCATTGGCTTTCCATGTTGAAAGAAAACAATGGAAGCTCCTAACATGAAGACAACAATGCCAAATTAAAGTCTCTCTCTCTCTTTCTATTACAAGAAAACAATTTTATCTGCTAGACAGCCTTGCTCAATTTTAAATCAAAAGTGGAGTAAAAGGTTTTGATTACTTATCAACCACCCTTGGAAACAGCTAATTGAAGCATACCTATCTATACAGCAGATTTAACACAGAGACACATAGACAAACACAAACACAAAACTTTATCTTATCAAACATGAGTAGAACATATGAGACTAATGATATCAGTATGATAAGATTCCAAACCAGACCATTTCCATATGGGAGTTAAGTAGAGAATTAGAGCCTGCGTATTAGTGGAGGAAACATGATAGTGATATATCAGTATGTTTAATTCTGAAGATGCATCTGGAAGAAATTATAAATATAAAGCTTTGTGTTACAGATGTGCTTGTACATTTAGCAATCCAATGGAGTAGATGTTAAAGTCAGTGAGTCAGCCAATTTTTAAAAAAAGATAATTGAATGCATGTTGGTAGTAATGCATGCTCTCTCACTTTGCAAATGGAATTTTCTAAAAATGTTTATATCCGTGGGCCGTTCCCTCAGTTTATTAGACATTTTATCATGTTTATTTTTCTTATCTCTAAGTTTGGGTGCTATGTGAAATTAGAGACAATTCTGCTTCCTATTTCATACAATACATGATAAAAGAGATGGATTGGAAATGTCATGACTCTTCATGTGGCTGTCCAATGGAGGCGCCATCTTTTTTTCCCCTACCAACAGTCCCCCGAGAACAATGTTAACAGCGGCAGAAACATTCATTGACCTGCCACTTTTCTAATAAGGCTCAAAGAGACTCTCAAGAGCAATACTGTATGTGTCATAGCCATTCTGTAAAACAATACTTACTGTGCTGCTACTTGCAATTTTACCACCATTTGAGGTAGCCTCGAGATTTTATTTTTTTTTGAGTTAAATAAAGGGAATGGAGACCTCTCTTATTGTAAAAGCTTTCTCCTAGCTAAAAATGTTTTGATTCCCAGTCTGCAAAAGAGGTTGAAAATGCCTCACCAATCTCCGAAAGGTTTATTATTCTTTCCAATGTTGAAGAAGGTAATGAGTCTAAATCTAACTGGCTTATGGTTCCCATCTCTGGTTCAGACACTG